AAATCTGTACCTCTTTAAAATATTAAATGGAAACATCCACTTTTTAGCTTTGCTAATCAAATTATTTTAAGAATTAAAACAGCCTGCATTAAAGTACATAACAGTAAATACAACTTCAGTATTCTCTTTATAAAAACAACTATTTTACCATATTAACTTGACCACATCCTTAACTACCTTTTAAGGTTTCAATACTGTGGTTAGAAAACAAAACAACTGTGTAATAACTCCAGAATATGTGAGAAATATAGAGTAGGCAAAAAGAGTGTTCTTTATCTTTCAGTTTATTTTTAAAATATAAATAGCTATTTTTCTGGTTTTATTCTGGTTTTAAAATTCTTAAATGTAAACTTTCATTTAAATATTTCCTTTTATATTACTTCAAGAAGAAACCAAATTCAAGAGAGATTTAAAAGATTTTTGCACAAGAAATAAGAGTTTTCAAAAACAGAACAATGGATGAATGCTAAAAAAGGAAAGTACATATATAAGGGACAAGAAGGCCTAAGAAGTACCAAAATTCTTCCCATGGCTGTGGTTGACATTAGGTTTTTAAATTCTACTGTGCTTCAAGCACTTGATTGAGAACTAAATTAATGTAGCCTTTACAGGGTCTCAAAAAGTTCCTAATATTTAGATTTCTAACACTATAAATATAACTTGTACATGAATATTAGTGGCACCAAGAAAGGCAAAGGTAAAAACTTTTCAGCAAAAGTAAAACGAAGCACCTTAATAAAAACTGAAGGTGCAAGGTAGCTATCAAGTGAAAAGAAAAACTTCCAATCTTCCACATTGTGCTAGCATATATGTGCCAACAGCCAATTAAAGTAACCTAAAGTGTTTTAAAATTTTCTATTAAAAAAAAAACAAATTCTAATTACATATATGTTTGAGTGACTGATTAAAATGTCAACTCAGAAATAAAAAACATACTGTGAGAAACTTGGTGATTCCAATTCAAGTCTCACATTTTTATTACATATGTTATATAATGAAACGTTACACCTGTATCCTCTAAAACAGCAACTTGTATGTTAAATCTTTTTTAACGTTGATAACTACCTAAGAAATAAAAAAGGCAAAACTTGCTAAGTTTAATTAGAGCCTATTCTCCAATATGAAGCCATTGCTTCCTAAGTCCTCCATACTTTGTGAAGACATTTCTTTTATACACTTAGTGAGAACCAAGAGATTTATGTCTGCATAGTCATTAGCTTTTCCAAAACTTTAAGGTACAAAGCTAAAATTATAAGAAAACATTCTGTTATAAATACACCTTAACTTGTTTTCCAGTAACCAAAAATATTTAAAAGAAAATACCTTTACTCTTTAAAAAACACTAGTGTCGTATTTTCCTTTCTAATTCTTCACTTGAATTTTAATCTCTGAACAGCAAGTTTGCAAAATGCTCTTTTGTACATCCCTGGATCTTTCAGTTTATTCTACATTTAATGCTTTTCATTATAGACTTAGAATTTGGGATGGTGTGTATAAATATGTAAAATAACACAGAGGCACATATAAAATTTAGGGTACACTTGTACATCCAGCTGCAAAAATCTTATGAGCCACAATTTATCTCAAAGACTACAAAACTCAGTTCACATAAGTCTTATTTCTAGAACACAACTATTCCAAAAGAAAGCTGTATAACCAGAAGAATAACAGAAATAAGCAAAACCTTTCACTAAGACTTTCTAGAAGTGTGTTGTGCTGACAAAAGATGCAAACACTATGAGGAAAGTCAAAGGAAGCATATTCTGTCTGCTAAACAAAAATGACTTTCATGTTACAATTACACCTGACAGTAAAAATCTCCCAGATGTTTCTATTTGATATGAAAAATCTGTGGAAGAAAATGAGTCAAAATGATTATTTTTAAAGTTACCAATCTCATGGGTTTTGTTTTTTTTTTTAATCTTAAATAGTCTTAGAAGAGTACCATCACGGTGAGTAAAGTTAAATAGTAAAATGTCTAATACTGAAAAATTCAGCATAGAATTAGAGGTTATTTTAATAAAAGCAACTTCATTATTGCTACTTTTCTCCATTGAATAAACAATCCGAATAGGATACAGAGCACCCTACTGAATAAAATGTTAAGAAGTCAACTAGAAGCAATAATCCTATTTTTACACAGCATAAATTAATATACAGTATTATATGTGGATGAGACTTTTAAATGAATTTTCTGTTTCAAGGCCAATGTTTTTACAAACATCTGTAGAAGTACTGTTAGGGGAGGCCAACTTCTTTATGATGTCGCATTATGTGCTGGTTCTTTTCTGAAGGTCTTCGGAACCCTTTCTTGCAATACTCACAACGGTGGGGGTAATCTTTCGTATGAATGGAAATAACATGTCGCTTAAAGCCTGAGGCATCTGTAGTGCTATACTCACAGTACTCACACTGATACACTTTCCTGCCACTGTGCGTCTTCATATGCTTTTTAAGCTCACTCTGTTGCCTAAATCCCTTTCTACATCTCTTACACCTAAATGGAAGATCTTTTGTGTGAACTGAGAGAATATGGCGACTTAGAACAAATGGATCTGCAATCTTAAAGTCACAGTGTCTACATTGGTGCATTTTTTTACCCTTGTGAGCAGCCACGTGTTTCTTGAGTTCTGAGGGCCTGTGAAAGCCTTTACTACACATGTCACATTTATGGGGGTAGTCCTTAGTGTGAACTGAAATTATGTGTCGTTTCAAATCACTTGAGTTGGAACTCCTGTGGTCGCAATGCAAACACTGGTGTGTTTTGCTTTCTTGGTGAATAAGAGCATGTTGCTGCACCTCTTTGGTATCTGAGAAAGTCAGAAGGCAAATGTCACATTTGAATGGCATCTCTTTACTATGCTTAGTTTTAACATGCGTTTTCAAATTAGAAGAGTCTGCAGACCTATATTCGCAGAACTGGCACTGGTACGGCTTCTCCCCAGTATGAATTCGCATGTGCTTTTTGAGTTCTGATGGGTGACGAAAACCTTTACCACACTCAACACAAATGTGAGGAAAGTTCTTGCTGTGGACTGCCAAAAGGTGGCGATTCAGTAACCCTTGTTCAGCTGTCTCGTATTCACAAAATTTACACTTGTGCATTTTGTTGGCTCCTTTTTCCTTATGCATCACTTTGTGAGTAAACAAAGTCCCAGTGTGAGAGAAATGCTTCCCATAGTCATTGCATTCGATGGCCTTCTCTGCCATGCTGGTCAACTTGTGGCTCTCCATGTGATTGTGTAAACTTACCTTCTTGTTGGTAATGAAATCACAGTCAGTACAATGGTAACTCTTCTTGGTTAAGTGTTCAGGATGGTTTTTCATGTGCCTTTTCAGAAAACCTCTCGACTTAAACTTTTTCCCACAAATCATGCAAGGATAGACAGTCAAGGGATGTCCATCAGGGCCAATAATTATTGCTAAGAAAAGAAAAGTTAAGGGACATGAGTGAATAAGCAAGTTCTATTTTGGTTTCTTCAAGAATTTAAAGTGTGCATTCTAAACATTAGACAGGTAATTCCTAAATCAGGTTAACATTCAACTTGATCATTTTTCAACAAGAGATATAACAACCTAGTAACAAAGAATTTGGTCCAGAAACGTCATTCAGTATGACAGTAGCAATGTCACTTCCAGGTTAAAATAAATAAAATACAAATTTAAAGCTACATAAATTTAGATACCTACTGAATAGTGTTCATAAAAAATAAAGTTCAACATTTCAGCTTTGTTTATTCCAAGACAAATTTATGCTAATATAAAGTTTACTGACACCTATGAAGACAATTTAAATATGCAAATAAGTATTTAAGACAATACAGGAAAGGAATATACCCAATGAACAACAAAGTATTTGTCTTATTCCTCTGTAAATGATGCCTACTTTAAGCTATCACAGATTCTTTACATTTGTTCATTTAGAGTTAACTAACATATTTTAGGGATTTGTCTTCATTTCCACTAAAATTACCTGAGTTTAATTCTTTCTCTAAATTTCTGATCCAAAAACTATTTTTTTTCCAAAAAAATCATTCATGAATATCACTGAATTCTTAAAATTCTATTTCCAAATTAATACACAAATGCTACATGTGGTCCAGCAGCTAAAATGCTATCACAACACCTCTGTGGAAATATACTAGTTTCATCTGAGAGCTCACAAAGCACACTGTGCTGTGGAACTCGTGCCCTCACCTGTTTGGTACTGCCTGGAATCAGGTCTTCTCCTTTTCTTTGTTTTTTGTTTAGCCAGTCTGCCAAGCCCAGCAGACTCATCTATGTGCAAGAGGGCACTTGCAGTGCCATTCCGGTTTTCAATTCCATCAGAATTATTACCTAACGATGTGCATTAAAAAACAAAATTATACTGTATTATAAATTATAAGAATTAGGGATTCTTTATTAACGACGACAACAAAAAGTAAACCATGATACTCATGAATGACAGAAATTTCCTATTCTAGGTAATGGGATTTATGGGCATATTTATATACAAGACCATAATAAATACCCAGCTTTGAAACCTAGCATCATTTTGCTCCATGAACTACCTTGCTGTGACTCAAAATTGTAGTCATGGATTTTCTGCTATAATCAAAATAAAAATTTCAGCTTGAAAGCCTATGTATTTCTTACATAATATAGAATGAAGGATATTTATGTTAAAATTAAAGGGAAAAAGGATGACTATAAAATCTTCCTCCACTTTTCCTTAACTCACTACACTAGTACTGCACAGTTCTAAGGCCTAACCATTTTTCAATAATAATAAACTGATGTTCAAGAACCTTGTAATCATTTGAACTACTATGTCACTTACCATAAGCTGCTGCCCATGCTATTGGCATGAAGGTTTTTATTTCATTGTCATCGGCTGTTTCATGCACAGTGGCTGCTGCTGTTGCAACAGCAGATTCCTCCTCTCCTACGATCACTTCCATATAAACTTCATCAGCAATTTCGGCAACATCTAAGTAGAAAATGAAGTGAACACTTATGAGACCAGGTTTATAAGAGATCAGACATGGCATTTATTTTTATTTGAATTCAGTCAAAAAACAAAAAAAGTTCAAATGTTACGTAATTCAAACACTACTTTCATATAATAAACTATAAATATTTGTTAAATGAATTATTCCTCCCTTTGCTCCACCATAATTTGTTTTTCAAGCAATATTCTAAGCATTTGTTAATAGTCACTGATGTTCTTTGGAATATGTCAGTACAATAATGTCTACAACAGCGTTGCTTACTTCCATCAAATATTTATTGCAGTTTAAATTGAAAACATAAAGTGTCCCACAAAAATGCCACCTACTTACTTAAATCTTCATCTTCTTGCTGAGAGTCACTGACAGTCATATAAACCATCTTCTCCCTTGGCACATGAATACTGTTAGTTTGATCAAGGAGTTCAACTCCATCATCATTCTCAGGCTCACTCTCCACAATATCTACAGTGCCACCTATCAGGGAAGATGACAGCTCTAGAAATTTATGTGAAAACTTCATTTCCACCTGTATCACTTTAATAAGTACCTCTTTCAACACTTTTTTATATTAGTATATTAGAAATGTTTTAAAGGTAATTTTCAGAAAAGAATTCAAATGTTCTCATCTAAACTATCCAAAAGTAATCAGGTTGAAGTAACTGACCAGGATATATAATATGCTGTGGGTTTCTTCTTACCTAAGTCTTCCTCTCCAGGGTCGGCTTTAAAAATGTACACTTTGATGACTTCAGGGCAAGTGCCATCCACTTTACAAGAAGTGATTTCTGATTCTGCATCAATAGTAATTCCAGAGGAACCATCCTGTTCTATTTTACTAGCATCATCCACTAAAAAGAGAAGAAATACACCATTAATAATAGCAGATACTTAAATATTACCATTTAAAAAAATCCTTTTTACAATTATAATCTCTAACTTGACTCATAAAATTGGATGATTTTTCCTAGAAAGCAGAACAATCAATGAGTCTCCTAAAAATGAGATGACATTTTACTCAAAGCAAACTCCTAGTAGCCTTCAAAATTAACAAAAATAATGAAATGATATACTTCATCATTAGGTAAAAGTATATCCATTAAAAAAAACTATTATATTCTCAAAGATTTTGGTAATACCCAAGTAGTAAAATGAACAAACACTGCTCTTATCTAAACGTGTTAGCACTACTTCATGCTGACTTCTCAGTATTATTTGGTCTAATCTGTTTCTATTGGAATTTCTTTTTAAATAAATTGAAATAGAATTTTCAGAAAAGTACACTGCAATGGTCAATGTAAATTCTAAAATCAAACTTTTAAATATAAAAGTACACATACATAGTATATATATATAAATATAAAAGTACACATACACATATAGAGAGAGGAGAGTTCATAAAAATGAGTCTGAGTCACTGCTAGCAAATGCAGCAAATGTATATTTAAACACATTCTCATATACCTCAATGGAAATAACCTGTTTTCTGTTTTCGGGGAAAAAAAAGGTACTCTTACTGACCAACAGAGGCACACATATTCCCCAATATTAGATTCACAGAATATAGAAAAAACACTTCATATTTAAACATTAAAAATAACACAGAAATAAGCAGATTATGGTTAGGATTTAGAACATTAAAAGTAAAAAATAATGTCTGAAAGAAACAGACTCTGGATTGAAATAATAAAAATATAATTCCCACAAAATGTAACCTTTTTCTTTCATTTCAATCCACTACTACTACTACTTTCACAAAAGAAAGTTTGGCAAAGACTTATGAAAACTCAGCCATTATAATTCAGCACATCATAAAAGTTGTATTTACTTAGGTCAAGCACATTAGAGAAAGACTAAAGAAATGTTTTCTCTGTTCCAGACACAACTGTCCTATCAGGCATTGCTAAAGATAAACCAGAGGAGAATGGAATCAAAGTTCAGAAGAGAAGGCTGATTTAGCTTGTCTTCAATACTCCCATCATGGCTTTCAACTCCCTTTTAGTTCCCTTTCTGGTGTTCCCCCTTCTAGACATACTTTATTATCTGGTTATATATTTATGTTTTACTCAATTCAACAATGAATCACAACTATAAATCAGACTTTGTGCTAGGTAGTAGAGATAACAAATATGAAAAAGTCATGGACTGGAGAAGTCTAATGCAGTGGAAAAGCGGACAATAGATGATTATTTTTAAACGTGATACCACTAATAATACAGCTACCATTTATTAAATGATTACTATAAACACTAAATACTACTTATAAGAGGAAGGTGTTAATATATCATCAACACTTTACAGTAAAGCAAAATAAAGTTGAGAAGAGATGAATGACTTATCTGAGGTCACATAACTAGTAACCAGCAAAGCCAAATTCAAAACTTAGTCTATGTGACTCACAACTAACATTCAACTTCTGGTGTTTTAAGAATGTATATATTCTATGAGAGTTAGAATTGTTAGAAGCAATAAATGGTACAACAAAGTACAAATGGTTTACATTAGTAAAGAGCAGATGAATATGCTTATAACTTAAGCACAACTCAATTAAGATTATGGTGAGTTTTGACCAATATTAATTTTGTCTTAAATTCTTCACAGTGACTTATGATTTTTATCTTTGAAATACTTCTGCCAATTCCTCACTATGTTCTTCAAAAGATCCAAAAATTCCATTTGTCTAAATCAAAATTCTTATATAGCATTATAAGAATATTCTAACAGATTAAAATGAAGTATTTCAAAAGCTAACATTAAAAAGTGATAACACAGTGAAATTTCATCTAATTTACTTTCTTAGCAGAAATTAAGAATATCCCAGGCCAAATTATTTGCCAAAACTACTTTCAAATACCATTCTGAAATATGGTTACAGCCATGGAACAACAACACAATACAAGTACAAAGTATAAGAAGAACACCTGCACTGGGGCTTGTAGTAACCTGGAGATCACTGATGTTCTTGGTGAAGAATGTTTTAGTGAATGCTAAATGGGGTCAGACTTGAGTGGATTAAGAATTCTACGTGACGTGTAGATATCTTTAAGAAGTCAACTTTAAAAAGGGAGAACAAAGGAAGGAGCAGTAATCAAAAAAGATGGCACGATCAAGGAGGTTATTATTTGATTGATAAAAATACTTAAGCACGTTCATAGTCTGTAGGAGTAATAAAGAGTTAGAGGACATGGTGAATTGCTAGATCAAGATCTCACAAGGGAAGAAGAAACTATAAGCAAAATTCCTTACACAGAATGAAAAACATTATTCCTTTTGACACCTGAGAATAGGTATTATCAACAGGAATATAGCTATTTTGTTGAACAGCAGCTTGGAATACAATGTGAAGTAAAAATCCTGACTGGTACTTGAACCACATATACACAAGGCAAGGACTTTGGTAAATGTTAACAGAACTGCAGACTGGGTTAAGAACTTTGAGAAGTAAGGAAAATGAGCTGGTCCAGGAAAAGCTTAATGATACCAAGGTTCAAAAAGCCTAGCCAGTTAAGTTCTTTACAATTACACACACACACACACACACGCACACACGCACATACCCGCACGTGCCCTCCTTAAACCTTGACCTTAAGTAACTAAATTATTTTGACTATGTTTTATATATAGTTTGTGGGGAGAAATGCGTCATGTCCTTAATTCTTGTCTGAGGTGTAATTAGCCTTTTTTCAAAGGTGAATATTTTTACAATGTATTCAGATGACTGGGCTATTTTCATTAAGGTGGCTTTGAAATGTTACAGAGATTGCCTTAGAGAATGAAGATCTTAGCAAACCAGACAGGAGAATCCACAATTAATTTATACCTTTTTGGAGAACTACTCTCTGAGAAATAGGTATTGTATGATAAAGCTAGTGCCTTTTGACAAGTTTGTAAAAAATGATTCTAAACAGGTACTGAAAAATCTAATGTAAAAATGTAATCTGCAGGTAACCACTAATAAAATTCTCAAAAAACAGAAAATCTGATAATTTTTCAGCTTGCAAAATGTCACATATTTACTTATAGCTTGTAAAAGATCTTTTTAACTTGTTTTTAAACAATATGTAATAAAAACATTCAAATATAAGATCTAGCAGAGAAAAAGCAAAGTTAATCTATTACTAGACAAAAGTGCAATTCACCTTGAAAATTTCACCTCAAACAGGTGTCCTACTGATTCAACCAGTAAAATTATTTGTATTACAAAAGTAGCTTATTAAAAAAGAAAACATTTAGGTGTTCTGTCACTATTCAAAATCTATGATTTGAAAATTGCCATTAAAAACTAAGCAAAAAACTCAGACAAAAAAGGCCTAGATAAAACTGAGTCGTCATATATATTTCTGTACAACTGCCTTATTAAAATATGTAGTAATGGAAGAACTAGAGCTTGAGATTAAGGTTTCTCCAAAATTAAGATTGCTTCTAATAACAACCTTTTGCATGGCATTTTATCTCAATATTTTATCTCAACCTTTCCCTTTATCTCACTGTATTATAAAGAAATAAAAGTTTTTGGACAGTATGTGATTTGCCTCAAGTCTTTTAAATTCCTAAGAGTTTAGAGGAGGGAGTGAGAAAGATGTCTATCTTTAGATTCAGACTTTCATTTCATTTTCATTCGTTATCTCCTTTCTCTAAGCTTCTACAGCAAATTCATTACAATTTGCGAGGAAAAAAGAATGATTAACCAATTTGCAGAGGAACTGCATTTTGTCTGGTCATTAATACAGAAATCTTTTATCATTAGCAAGATTACTACTCAAGTATTTGGCTTGCTTCTCCATTTCCTCAAATTGCATCATCTCTCAAGGTCAGGTGGTTGTTAAATGTTACCAACCACTGCCCATCACAGGAAATAATAAGCACCTATTTGATTTGCTTTACGCCATGTTTCCCAACCAAACAGCCCTACAAACTATGTTAAAGGAAAAAAAAAAAATCCAGTCACCTTACCCATCCTCCTTATCCTAAGAAATCATTCTACCATCTAATCTTCTGCCTTAACAGTCTTCTCTGTCCCAACACCCTGCCACCACCAAAATTCTCCATGTGCCTTGTTTAAGCAATTCTTCATTACTTGAGGCTTCTTCAACTTTGCCTTAAAAGGCTACTTTTAGTAGAGAGAATACATCTTTATTGTACTCCAATTCTATCAACCAGAACTATGAATAAAATTTAAAAGAATTTTATTCAATATTTCTCTATGACTATATACAAGTAAAAAAAGAAAAAATTAATGTTTTAAATAAAAATGATATTTTTTAAAAAAATATTTTAAACAAATCTAACAAAAAAAACCAGTTTAATTCCGCAGCTGATCATTCTATCCTCTTAAATATTTCCAATTCCTATGCCCCTCTCATTTTATCAGAGAACCACAAACTTAATGTGATTTTTGTCTTTACACCTGTATTTATGCAATTAAATCTGGATTAAGGAAAAAAAACAAAAACAATGCTTTTGCTCTCATTTTTAAATGCCTGACCATAAATCTTGAAAAGACTTTCACATTTTCTCCTTTAAATGGCCAATTGATCTTACTTTATTTCCCTGACAACAAAATACTCCACTAAATTTCACTCTACCTACCTGGAAACAACTAAATCCATAAATTTTGTCTTCACTACATGTCTACAAACTAATGTGCTCCTTTTTAAAACTAATCCTACTGCTTAAGGACTAAATTATACCTTCTTTTCACTGTTCAATTATTTTTTACATCAATTTATCAATCTCTACAAACAAGTTTTCCTCATCTCTTACAAAAAAAACCACCTTCTAATGATATCACATTTCTTGCCAACTACGGCTTCATTTCTCAATTTTTTTCATTCTACATTCTCTAAACTCA